TGCTCAGCGCAGGCGGCGCGCCTCGCGCTCCGTCTCCAGCAGCGCCAAAATGTCCCCCTCGCGCACGGGGCCCTTCACGTTGCGGATGAGCGACCGCCCCTGGAGGTCGGACTCCTCCGTCATGAAGGTGACGCGGACTTGCTGGACGCCGCCCCTGCTGCCGGTGCGGCCGAGGACTTTTTCGACTTTGGCGAGCTTCGGCTGCTCCATTTTGGGGTTTGGGGCTAGGGTTTGGGGTTTGGGGCTAGGGTTTGGGGTTTGGGTTAGGGTTTGGGTTGGGGTTAGGGTGGGGGAGGGGTTGAAGGAACCAGGGGTCCTCCTGCTTGCTTCGTGGCTCACGCGCCACGGCCTCTTCTGCTGCTGCTGCGCTGCTGCTGCTGCTGCTGCGGGGCTCCGCCGTCTGCTGCGCCGCTGCTGCGCCCCACGCGCGCCCCCAGCCCCGCCAGCCCCGTCGACCGGCCTCCCGCTGCTGCTGCTCCCGCGGCTGCTGCTGCTGCCAGGTTGGGCCGCGCCAAATCCACAAATGCGGACTTAGTGGACTCCTTCACTTTTATTTTCAAAAAGCAGCTCGAGTTCGTCTCAACTCGAGGCTGCGCAGCTGCTGGTCCTGTCGCGGCGCGCTCGCTGCTGTGCGCTTCCCCACCAGCACCGCCAGCAGCAGCAGCAGCAGCAGCAGCAGCAGCAGCACCAGCAGCTGCGGCAGCCCTCCCGCTGCATGCTGCATGCACGCCAAGCCTCTGCACCGGCAAAAGGCATTTCCTTCTGTAGTCTTTATATTTCGTGCTGCAGCTTTGCTGCCTCTTCGGCTTGCTGCTGCAGCTCCAGAGTTTACAAGCCCTTCTCAGCACCACGCACGCCAAAGTTGCAGCGGCAGCAACAGCAGCAGCAGCAGCAGCAGCAGCGAAACGACCTTCTGGCCACCAGGGACCCTCCGCTGACCGCTAGAGCTTCGCCCCAAGTCAGCAGCGGCGCAGCAGGCCCGCCGCCGCAGCAGCACCAGCAGCAGCAGCAGCAACAGCAGCAGCAGCACCCTCCGCAACGGCAGCAGCGACAGCAGAGGGAGGCACTCACAGTGGGACTAGCAGGCACGCAGCAAGTGCAAAGAAGCTCCAGCAGTAGCAGAAGGTTAACCTGAAGCAGCAGCAGCAACTGCAACAGGAACAGCAGCAGCAGCAGCAGCAGCAGCAGCAGAGATGAGGCAACTCAAATACCACGAGCAGCGTTTGCTGCGGAAGGTAAATTTCTTTGAATGGAAAAGAGACAAAACGGCGCGGGAAAATAAATTTCTGAAAAAGTATTTAATTCAAGACAGAGAGGACTACCACAGGTCTGAAGCCTGCTGCTGTTGCTGCTGTTGCTGCTGTTTTGCTGCTGTTGCTGTTGTCGTGCTGCTGCTGCTGTTTTGCTACTGTTTCCGGAGTAGTGCCGTGAAGAGCGCTGTGCTGGTGAATCTGGCGCAGCAGCATCGCGATCTTGAGAGCAACAGCTGCTGCTGCTGCTGCTGCTCCTGCGGTGTATGTGTGGGGCGTTGGGTGTACGTACACCGCAGGTACAACAAGCTCTGCGGGCTCATCACCAAACTGGTCGCCGGCCTTCGAAAGCTTCCTCCAGAAGATTCCTTTCGAATGAAGATGACGGAGTTGCTGCTCGACAAGCTGTACGTACACCCCATTGCAGTAGCAGCAGCAGCAGAACGAGCAGCAAAGCGGACTTGGGGCCACTCTTGTGGCTATTCGATGCTGCTGCTGCTGCTCGTGTGTGCCCTTCTCTATCAGCTGCAGAGTGTGTTCATGTTGCTGCTTCTGCTGCTAGCCACTCTGGAGAGGCGGCTGAATCTTTTGCTGCTGCAGCTATCCCCACGCTAGCTGCTGCAGCTGCTGCTGCTACTTCTGCTGCTGCTGCTGGTATCCTGTTTCTAGCTGCTGCCCCTTCTGCTTCTGCCCCAAGCCGTGCCGCCTCTTCCACGAACCCTCCCCCACAGCCGCCGCCGCTGCTGCTGCTGCTGCTGCTGCTGCTGCAGGTACCGCATGGGGGTTGTGAGCCGGCGCGAGGGTTTGGGGGCCGTGGAGGGTTTGGCAGCTTCTGCGTTTTGCCGGCGGCGGCTGCCGGTGGTGCTGCTGCGGCTGCGCATGGCCACGCATCTGCAGCAGGCCGTGGAGTACGTGGAGCAAGGCCGTAAGCAGCAGCAGCAGCAGCAGCAGCAGCAGCGGGTACAGCAGCAGCAGCAGCAGACGAAATAGACGACTAAAAGTGTCATCTACTCCGTTTTTTCGCGGCATTTCGAATTAAACCACGCGGAACTAAGAGCACTTTGCAAAAGCACTTAATAGAGCAAAAAAAAGCAAAAAAATGAAATAATTTTCAAAATTCAACTTTTCGTTTTGCTGCAGATGTGCGCCTCGGCGCTGAAGTTGTCACTTCCCCTTCTCTCCACATCACTCGAGACGCCGAAGACCATTTGGCCTGGGCAGAAGGCTCAGCAATTAAGAGACACGTTGCTGCCTTCAGAAGCCAGGCTGACGACTTCGATTTGCTGCAGGCAGCCTAGCTGCTGCTGCTGCTGCTGCAGTGGCTGTCGTGGCGGGTGTGGCGGCTATTACTGCTGCTGCTGCAGAAGCAGCAGCAACTGTTTTTTGTTTGAAAGGCAACTAGTAACTATAAAGCTTCTGTAGTTTCGGAACTGCTACGCTGCACCTGTCTACTGCGGCCACCGCTGCTGCTGCTGCTGCTGCTGCTGCTGCTGCTGTTTGCTGCTCTAGTGAGCGGCTTCACGGGTAGAAACAGCCACCGGGTGTATGTACAGCCAGTGGCTTCAAAACAAAAAAAAAAGGTTGGGGAGGTTTTCCCTTAGTGCTGCTGCTGCTGCTGCTGCTGCTACTGTGGTTAAGCATGGACAGCAGCCCAGCAGCAGCAACGGCAGCAGCAGCTGCTGCAGCTGCTGTCTTTGAAAGGGTGCAGCACCTTGCTGCGCTGCAGCAGCTGCTAGTCCTCGAGCGCCGCCCCATACAGCTCAAAGTGCACTGCAAAGGGGTCCACATCAGCAAACCACCTGCTGCTGCTGCTGCTGCTGCTGCTGCTGCTGCTGCTGCTGCTGGGGAAGGGTATGTTGGCGCATGCGTCGCAGAGCAGCGTGGGGTTGAGGATGCTGCAGAAGATGCTGCTGGCGACTGCGCGCGTTGCTGAGGCTCTGCAGCAAACGTGGCAGCTCTGGGGCTTCAAAGGAGGCACAAAACACCTTTTTGGAAACAGACTTGGGGTGTACGTACAGCTCCCCGGGGTGTACGTGCAGCTCCCCGGGGTGTACGTGCAGCTCCCCGGGGTGTACGTGCAGCTCCCCGGGGTGTACACGCAGCTCCTCCCGGTGTCTGCGCAGCTCCCTCCGGTGTCTGCGCAGCTCCTTCCGGTGTCTGCGCAGCTCCTCGGGGTGTCTGGACAGCTCGGGGTGTCTCGGCAGCTCGGGGTGTATGCGCAGCTTGGGGTGTATGCGCAGCTTGGGGTGTATGTACACTCGCGTTTTGTGTCTCTTTCGCGGACTCCGGTGAAGAGGATTCTGTGGCAGCAGCTGCCGCAGTGGAGCCAGCAGCAGCTGCTGCTGTCGGCGAGGGGGAGCAGCTGCTGCTGCAGCAGCAGCAGCAGCAGCGCCTGCTGCTGCTCGCGAATCGGCCCTTCTCTCCCGCTGCTGTCCCGCAGCAAACGCCCCTGCCCCAGCAAATGCTCCCGCAGCAGCAAAGCATATTGCTGTTTGCTGCTGGGGTCTGCTGCATCAGCATAGAGGACTCCGGCCACGAGGAAGCAGCTGCCGCCTCCGGGGCCCCCCGCTGCAGCAGCAGCAGCAGCAGCAGCAGCAGCGCCCTGTTTCCACTCCCTGCTGCAGCAGCCACGCAAAGCCACACGCAAGTTCCACAAAGACTGACACCCCAGCAGCTCAAAACTTGCTGCTGCTATTGCCCCCCGCTCTCCGTGAAACACAGTCACCGAAAACACAACCTCCTCCCCGGACAACTTGCTGCTGCTGCTGCTGCTGCTGCTGTTGCTGCTGCTGCTGTTGCTGGTGAGGCTGCTGTTGTTGGTGCTGCTGCTGCTGGGCGGGTCCGCGTAGCAAGGCACTGCCGTTCCGCAGCAGCATGGCGTCTCCTCGCGCTGCTGCTGCTGCTGCTGCTGCTGCTGCTGCTGGTAGACGTTGTAAATTGCTGCTTGTCTGTCAAGGCGAGAGTTTCTGAGGGCCCTCAAAGACAACAGACACCGCGAGGACCCCAAGAGACACAAAAACAGCAGCAGCTGCTGCTCCCCAATTGTTGCAGCTTCCGGCGGCGGCGGCCAGCTCACTTTGCATGCAAAG